GATTTATTTTAAAATTATAAATTTATTTTAAATATTATTGAATTTATTTTTCAATAATTTTAAAATTAATTAAATTAAAACTTTATTGAGTATTATTTCCTAATTTTTTTTCCATTGGTAAGGCCTATAATCTCTATTAGATAATTAAGATTTCGTTTAGGACGAGTTTCTCACTACTTCTTAAAGCATTTTTTTAATATACAAATTTTATATCTTGCACTAAAAAGCTACTGTAAGAAGCAGTGAGAAAGCCATCCCAAATGAAGCCTAAATCTATAACTAAGGCTTCATTTGGGACGACTTTAATACTGCTTCTTAAATCAACTTATAGTACAAAATTTTTAATTTTTATACCAAAAAAATTGAAACAATTAGAAACCTGTCTCAAATAAAGTACAACTCTTATGAAAAAATGATCATCTGATGAAATTGCAAATGAAAATTCTACATCTTTATGAATGAACCCTTCGAGGGGAAAATTTAGCTACCTTGAAATCTTTCAACGCTAAGCATACTTCTATTATTAAGGCCGAGAAATAGATTGCTTCAATTGATCTCCATAATAACTATAATTCACTTACAATCACCCCAATCTTTGAAGGAGATGAACAAGTCCTGCAAAATTCAAAGATTGTATTTTTGAACTCTACGGTCATAGTGACAATATATGATAACTATCCCACTAAAGTGAACAAAAGGAAGCATGAAAAGGAAATGGGATAAGCTTTAGCGAAATCAAAGATTATCGACATCCACGAGTTTCATCCAATTAGAAAGTTGTTTTAGTACTATTTTAGTAGAAAGTGTTTTTAAAAATAACTAAAAAGTTGTTTTAGAAAGCATTAAAAAAGTTGTCTCAAACAAAATCATAACACCTAGTTATAAAAATGCAAGCAGATTTGGAAGCCTTGCATAATAAATGAAATATCTACTAGATTATTATTTTTTAAAAATTTAAAGAAGTATTCATGTTTTTGACAATAATATCATTAGCTTCACATAAAAAAAAAATCATATAAAAAAATAGTATATGTGTGTGTGAGATAAATCGGCTTATAATTGTTGGTAGGGCTTTCAGTAAATGACTCTACCCGAAAAATTCAAGTTTTGGGTTAACCTGTTCAATAAATAGGATTGGTTCAGATTCAGGTTAAGTTTTCAGATCCATTTATTAAAGGTTTCAGATTAAGATTGACCCACAAATTACTTTGATAAAAAAATAACATTTTTAAGATTTTTTCTTCAATTTTTTTTTTTTACTTGTGAGAAACTTTTCTTTTTCATGATAAATATTGTTGCGTGCTAGAAAATACGCGGCGGTAGAGTTTATGAATTCGCGTCCGAGCGTTGCACGAATATTCAGCACGCAAAGAGTAAAGAGAATGAACACCAAGGTTTTTACGTGAAAAACCCAAAAGAGGAAAAAAAACCACGGGGCCTCGTCCAGTTGCAAAGTTCCACTAGTATTTGTTTGAAGTACAAAGATCGATTCGTCTTACAAGCCAAGACGATCGATTTACAATCAACTTCTCACAAAGTTACAAAGTTCTGCAAATTTCCGGCCTTTCCCGAAAATCCGGCAGAGTTCCGGCGTCTTCAGGCGGCGGGAAGAGCTCCGGCGGTGGTCGAGGAGGAGCTTCTTCCTTCTCCTCCTTCTCTTCTTCTTCTCTCTCTTCACTTGAGTCCCCTTTGTGTAGAATGAGGGCTCTATTTATAGTTTTTCTGGAGTGGCATAGCTCGTAAATAGGTGTGAGATCATGGGCGAATAGGGAGTGGTTTGAATGGACGGCCGATATTGAACCCTTCGATCGTGCACTGTTTGTTGGACATTTGAAGGCCTTAATGATGTCCGAATTCAGCGATCTTGGGCTCGTTGGATTTGTCTCGTCGAGCCACTCAATTAAAGTATAAGCTCGTTAAAATCGGAGACTGTTTGGTAACTCAAATTGCGGTTTGAACCTTCCAACAGCGATTCGGGTCCTTGATTCGGACTCATTTGGGCTCGGATTGGGTTGATCTTGGTGACTTTGGGTTTGTATTTCCGAGACGCTCAGTTTGACTATAAGCTTGTTGAAATCGGAGTTCGGGTGCTCCCAAAATTAATTTTTGAAGTTTACAACTAGCTTTTGCTTCAAGATTCGTGCCCGATCAAGCTAATTTTGTGATGTCGTATCAATCATTAACTTTATAGTTAATAAGTTGTAATTTTTTTTAAGAAACAAGAATTTATGGGTCGGATTAGGATAACTCGGATCTCTAGCAAGTCGGATTTAGGTTAAACTTTTTAACTTTTATTAAACATATCAAATTTAAATTAACTAAGTTCAAATCACAATAATTTTAAATTTAATTTGAATCAAATCGCTCAAACCAATTCGGCAAACCTGATAATTCTTACTCCTCATTTTGGAGCAATTATTACATCCGGTGTCCGAATGCGTTCAGAAACCTAAAACCACGCGCCACGTCACATAAAATTTGATATTTTGAACTCGATATTACTCGGTATATATTTGAAAATCGGCCCAATGTAATAATTTCTTCCTCATTTTGGCTCGTGGTGTAACTTTTTTTTCATCTATATATATATTTATCTCATAGAATAAAAAAAATGAACCCAGAAACCCACCAACACATTGATAGCGGGACCCACAATTTTCAAGGCAGGTGCAGACTGGGTGAGAGTTAGTCGAGTGGCTGAAACTTTGCCACTGTTTCATAAAGAGAGAAAGGGTATCTGTCGTTTCACCCTGTACGTCGTTGGTCTCTTTGGGAGAAATATCGCCGGTCAGTGGTCTCCGATCGTCGTCTTTTCGGTCCCACTGCAGCCGCCGGCGAAGTCCGAAGCGTCGGTGAGTGAAACTAAGCTACTGAACCCTTTTTCTTTCTCTGGAAACCCTTCTTCTTCCGTTCGCCGCTGTAAACTTGCATTTTCGGTTTTGCGTCGTCGAGTTAGCTGTTCTTGAGATTGATCTCAGTTGAAATAGAAATTAGGGGGTTTTTTATTTTAATTTTCGTATTGTTGTTTGATAGTTACTAGAGTTTTGATGCCTCGTTTATCTAATGAATTCTTTTTGTGATTTGAAATGCACGTATTGGTCGATTTTAGTGGCAGTAAAGCCCTTTTGATCTACTTTTTTTTGGGGGGGTATTATGTAATTCTTTTCGAATAGTAACCTTTGCTTCTACAGAACGCTTCCTTGATTTTACTTTTATATTATATTCTTTTCCTTTTCTGATGTTTTAATGGACTGGTGTTGATTTCCCGATCATTTGTAAACTTTTACGGGTTTTGATTATAAAAATAAATAATCGAGAGTAGTTAATCTCGATTTGCATGATTGTTAACATCTGTCGGCGAATGTTAAGTGTGCTTAGGTTTTAGTTGTTTAGTCTGAGTTTTTTAAACAAAGTATTTCAATTTTTTTTTCTGATGTTATAAATGAATTGCATCTTTGTATTTTATTTTATTTTTACTTAAAATAGTGTCCTTTTTGTTCAGAGAACAAAATGTATGATCATAGGAAGAGTGGTGAGAATATTTTGGAGAACATAATAGAAACCATTGCTGATGCTGTGCCGAAGCAAAAGTCTGGTGGATTCTTCAATGAGGGAGCTTCAGTCGCTGACAAGTTAAATAACAAGATAAATAAGCACTTTGGTCGGCAGAAGTCAGTTCATCACATTCTTGGGGGTGGAAAATGTATTCCGTGCCAAAAAAAAAAATTTTTTTTTGTCAAGCTTCCTCACCAATTTGGAGAGGAGAATAACTGTTTATTGTGTTCAATATGTATTTTTTATTTTTAAAATTGTTATGCACTGTTTGTAGCTGCTGATGTGTTTCTGTGGAGAAACAAGAAAATATCTTCAAGTGTCTTGGTCGGTGCAACGCTTGTATGGGTTTTCTTTGAATGGCTTGACTACCATTTTCTCACTCTGGTGTGCTTTGCTCTAGTTATTGGAATGGTTGTTCAGTTCGTTTGGGCTAATGCTTCTGGCATAATTAATCGGTGAGCTTGTTTAATGTTATTGTAGACAGTAGAGAAAACTTGTTTAGAGTTTCTAATTCCTTATTTGTGCAGGTCTTCATCTGAAGTTCCTCGGCTTGTCTTGCCAAATGAGTATTTTGTGAATGCCGCTGTCTCTATCGGTGCACAAGTGAATATGTTCTTAGGATTCATTCAGGATGTTGCATGTGGAAGAGACTTAAAGATGTTTGCAATGGTATGTGATTTTTATCCACTATTTTTTCACCATATATATTATATTATATGTATAATTCCTCCCCGGGGAACCTTTTATTTCCAGCTTCAATATTGAGTGGAATTCTAAATTTAGCTATTAATTTTGAATTGTAGTTGGTAGGCACATGAAACTTTATTACACATGGAAAAACACTTAAGGTGGAAGAGCAAGTAAGTTTCCTTTTAGCTAAATGGAAAGGAAATTTTTGGAAATTAAAGATTTTTTTTTTCTTTCTAAATTTATAAAATTGAAATCAATAGATATATTTATGCGGGTATTATAAATTTCTGATAGTTTATGATAAAACTAACAATATAAAATGCAATTTTTGCAGAAGTGAAAGTTTGTTTTTGTGTTTTTAATTTACTATTCTTGACCTCTTAGGAGGCTGTGGTGGAAAACGATGGAAGGAGTCGATTTCTAATCCAACAATATTTATTAATTACAAATTATGGCGTGTATGGCAAAGCTGACCTGAAATAGCAAGCATGATTTTGATGTTAGGAATAGTCCTTAAGGATTCATAAGGACATTCCTGTTAAGTTGGGAGGATGCTTGTTACAATTATGATGTGGTCTGATGAGATGGATTAATTACTGAATTACTTGGCATCTTTTGGTTGTTCATGCTGTTGAAGCTGACTTACATAGCTATTAAATGATTTGAAATAATTTATTATACCGTAGATATCATGATCCTTTGAACTGTTGTAACTTTTGCGTTGCTTGTAATTAATTATGCATTGGTGATTTCTGGAGGATGTCACATTTGACAGCAGAAATATTGTGAGGTCAAATTGGTTACAGGAAGCTAGTAAGGATAATTGCTTATAGAATTTTTAAAATGAAGTGTGATATGGCTAATCTGCATGGTTACCAGCATTGGCCATATTAAGACCATATTAAGTGTACTTTGGTGGGGGTTTTGCAGGAGTATAACTAAAGGATGTATTATTTTGTGAAAAATAAGTGCGTTCTTCAGACTATGAAAACTAAAAATAAACAATTTAAGCTTTACTTTCTTCTAATCAAAACATGAATAGGACCATAATGAAAAACAGACACATTATGACATCTCTTTCTTGATTAAATTGTGTGTCCTATGGTAGTATTCTGACTGATTTGAAGTCATTAGAGAGGATTCCTTAACTGAATTTGTATTTAGTGGAAGTTTTCATACTTCTACTTGACTTTTGCCAAATTATGATGCTATGATAGTTTGAAGTTCTTATTTTTATACTTTTGTTGTAAATCAAAGTGAGTGCCATACACCACACCACCACCACCAACAATAACAGCATCAAGCCTTTATCCTACTACGTGGGGTTGGGTACATGAATCCTTGAAAGTGAGTGCCATACACCATGCCAAATGCCAAAATTCACTTGTAACTAATATATTCTACTTGCTCTTCATTGGCTTATCAGAAAGACTTCCCTTCTATAGAATTTCTCATGTAGTCTTTATCCAACTCCTCAGTTATTATACCAACAAAGCAAATCTTGTCGATATAATGAATCCTGAAACTAGTTTTTTTTTTTTTTTTTTTTAAGCATCCTGAAACTAGTTGATTTTCAAACATGAACAAGTTAAGTTGACGTGCAGGTTGTCCTTGGCTTGTGGGCAGCTGCTGTCATTGGTAGCTGGTGCAACTTTCTTACTGTCCTTTACATTGGTAAGCTTGCATTGTCTGCACCCATATATTCAAGTTATGTAATTTTCTGTTTGGGCAACTCTGATTATCTTAGCTTACACTTTGACTACGCTGAGAAAGGTAAATACTGGTGGACAAATTTACAAATTGGCCATGAAAAATCAAAATGGTTATTTAATTTTTAGTATGATTGCCATCTTCAGAGTTTTTTTCATCATTCTCAAGTATTTCCTTATAGGACAATCATTCAATTGATAAAAATCGAAAAACTCCCGTCTGCTTGTCTCGATCTTATGATAAAACATAAGCACATATTTGCTATCAAATGTTCAAGAACAGGTATTTTGAATTGTTCACCCACATTAATCTTTTACTTCATGGGTTTTTTTAAAACTTAAATAGATGTTTGGAATTATTCATCATCATGACTACAATCATAGCCTTATCCTGATTATTTTCAGTTGGTTTATGAAATCTCTTTCTTCATCCATTCTTTGGGTGATATATGAGGTGTCAACTCTAGATTACACATCTTTTGTAAATTCTACCACTGCTGCATCTGAACTACTCATTTTCTTGCTTATTCATTAAATATATGAACCCTTCACTATGTCCTGTGGGTTATCTTCTCTGCTTGTTTGTTGTTGTCCTTTTTGAATGTTCCATAATTTTGAAATTGGATCATGTTACGGTTCTAGGTTAGTCTACACAGTCGATAGCCACAAGATGGGATTCAGTTTGATGCTCTCTATGAATATTGGAGTTAGGAGAACCTCTAAGTAGACAATGAAACTCTACCAAATCGCATTGTGAAAATTATCGTTTAAAACAAAAGCCTCTTCTTGTAGATTTCAATGACGTGGAGTACACCCCACACCTTTTCATTAACCTTAAGTTCTTATGAGGAAACGATTTCATCAGCCACTTGGTGTTGCTAGCTTCAACTTAAAGGAGCTTACATAAGTGTTTTTTTTTATAATTTTTTTTCAGTGGGGTATGGAGGTTTCATCTTATCCATAGGTGCTTTATGCGACACATAAATGTGTTTTGGTGATGATAAACATGTTAAACCCCATGAGCCTCCAAGCCTGATAATGTTTTGGTGATAATAAACATACCTTGGAAGATAATAATGGCATTTTGGAGTATACACTATTTAGTGAATTCATATCATGCAATGAAACTATGCTACACTTTAAAATGAAGCATACAAGGATGAATGGCTTCAGCAAAGATTTTTTAAGCTTTAGGGTTAAATTTCAAAATAGTTCCCCGACTATTCACATGATCATTTTAGTCACAGAATATAATGTTGCTCCAATTTAGCCCATCGACTATAAAAAATTGATCCTAAATTAGCCCCTTTGGGGCTAAATTGGAATGAATTTTATATCACAATTACAAAATAAGAGATTATTTTGGGTCAATTTTGTATAGTTGAGGGCCTAAATTTGGGCAACGTGATGCTCTGGGATTGAATTAGCCATACACGAATAGTCTGGGGACAATTTTGGGATTTTTCTTTTTCATGTGCCTGGATTACTTTGTAAAGTTTTAGAAAGGAGAATTATTAATGGACACTTGCTCATACCATATTCTAGCTATGTGATACATAAAAAAAAAATCAAAAATAAATTTTCTTGTTGGATCACACATACAATCCTAATCGTATTTATGATTTTTGGGTTGCTCATATGATTATGATTGTATATTTGGGTTTTTCCATATGATTATTATTGTATATACGATGCACAAATGTTTCTTTGGTTTCTGAGCTAGAAAGACCATAGTCCTATTTGAAACTCATTCCTTGATGATTATTAAGTAAGAATCATGGCGTGGAAAAGGAAAAAATCATACCAAAGGTTGATTCTTTTATCATACACTTTTGATCAACGTAGTTTAAAATTTTGAGAAATTTGACATTTTTTTCTTGATCCTCATTTGGAATTAATTAACATTTTTTTTTTTATTGTTGTATCAGTAGAATTTATAGATTTAGCTATGTTTAATATAAAGAAGTTAGGTAGGAATACGTGATACGAGAACTTTATGGAGTTTTAAAGGTAAATTTTATAAAGTGACAATAAGATTGATTATGTAATATGAATCCGAGTGTTGGTTGAGCTACTAAGAAATCACGATTAATCAAATTGTGTATGACCAAATAAAATCTTAAAGATTAATGTTTGTTAAAATTGAAAAATAGAGTGCAAATGATTGCATTCAAGAAATCAAATGTTTTATAATTTGCTCCTACAGCTTTTAGTTAGCACCAAGATGAAGCCATGGAAGAGCTATTAAGTTGGTAGATGGGATAAGAACATAAAAAGAAATAAGGTTCTTCAAATAGACCCCTTTCCCTTTAGTACCTAATTATGCATTGTAAGGGTCTAAGAAATAATATTCTTCTTTTGCTCATCATGAGAAATGTCAACAAGATGCTTAATATTCATAGAAGAAAAATATAAATCAACGTTCACATTAGCATGTGGTACATCAGTGGACAGTTTGTTAGCATGCAATATAACTAGAATATGATTGGATTCTTAGGTTATGTACATGATAGAAACAAACAATTAGGTGGAACCCTGAGTATTCTTAGATCTTTCACCAAGGTGTATTTCTATCAAATGGATGGTAAGAAAAATCTTATTGAACGTGATAACTCATTGAAACAGACTCAATAATTCGAGAAACTCTTAAGCAAAGCATCGAACCTCCTGGAAGAAGAGTCTTAGGCTTCGTTTGGGACGACTTTCTTCTTGCTTTCTAAAATAGTGTTTTAGTATAAAAATTTCTTGAATTTGGATTTTTTGTGCTAAAAAGTCATTTTAAAAAACAGTTCAAAAGTTGTCCCAAACGAAGCCTTAGTTATCATTCTTTAAATATCAACTTTCTTTTCAACAGCTCGATGTGGTTACACAATGCTCTAGCATGCCTTATTAACATCCGATACTTATTATATATGTGAAAAGGTTGGAGTAGCTCCAGTGAAAGATAAAATTAGAGAGAGTCACCTTAGATGGTTTGATCACATTAAACAGAGGCTTTCAGATGATCCGATTATAAAAGTTCAAGCATTAGATTTGACTTATGTTAAAAAAAAGTAGAGGTAGACCTAAAAAGACTTAGAATTGATCTTTCTTTATTAGATTTAAATGAGAATTTGACTTTTAACATGACACAATGGTGAAAACGGATTCATGTAGCCGACCCCACGTAGTGGGACAAAGGCTTGATGTTGTTGTCGTTGTTTTCTCATTCTATGAAGAACCAAATGTGCACTTTCCAGTATGAACCATCATTAACACCAAAATTGTTAATATTTTACGTGGTAATCTTAAGTTCTATGTCATCTTTCCTGATTCAGGCTTTGTTGCTGTTCACACTGTACCTGTGTTGTATGAGAAGTACGAAGACCAAGTTGATGACTTCATATACAATCTCCTTGGACAGCTCCAGCTGCAGTATCGCAAGCTTGACAAGGGTGTACTAAGCAAAATACCCAAGGGAAATCTCAAGTCCAAGAAAAATGAGTAGAATTCTTCTTTTTTGTAGTTATCATCAGACTTACATATTTTCCTGCATTATGAAATTGTCAAGGAAGCCATTATTTTGCCACTTTCTGCTGCTTATGTACTAAAAGAAAATTTACTTAGTTACATGGCAGTGATGATATGCTTATCTAGTTTGCAGTAGTTTAAGATTTTGTTCGGGATAACTTTTTTACAGTTTTTTAAAGCAGTTGTTTAGTATAAAGATTTCTTGAACTAGAAAGCTGTTTTAGAAAACAGTAAGGCTTCGTTTGGGACGGATTTCTTACTGCTTCTTAAAGCAGTTTTTTAGTACAAGATTTAAAATTGTTGTATTAAGAAGTTGTTTTAAGAAGTAATAAGAAAGCTGTCTCAAACGAAGTTTGAGAAAGCTGCTTTAAGTTCACCATTGTTTATGAAATTTTACTGCAGCATATACTTTAGATAAGGCTGGAAGTTGTAAATGTATGTAGAAGTAAAAACAATAAATTTTGTATTGGAATTTAGCATTGATTTTTTAATACATCCAATAAAAGTGAAGGAATGTCATAATTTTTTTTTCCAAATATGTTTTATAATATAAATCAATCAAAAGGGAAGGAAAGAGGTTAATTTTCTCACATTTAGTAAATTATCTTCAATCATACATATGATCGTAAAAATAAAAATATTTTATGCTAGAAAGTTGTTTTAAAAATTAGCAAGAAAGTCATTTCAAATGAAATCTATGAGAAATTTTAATATTTATTTGGAATGATTGTATTATTTTATAAAGATGGTATATAATTGTTGTATGGAAAATGTTTTTTTTATTTTTGGGAAAAATATTATAAAAAGTAACTTTTTTATTATAAAAATATCTTGAAAATAATAAAAAATAATAGTGAAATAGAATAAGCAATTAAAGATTAGCTTCTCATTATAAGCTCTAAAATCATTTTTGTTAGGTATCACAGACATTTCTTTTATTCTACTAATAATTTTCCCAACTAGATAAGCTGGATACAATTAACTCTTTAAGAGGGATTATATGTTTGAATTCTGTTGTTGTGATTTGGCTTCCATATCACTCATTAAGATTTCTTTTGGGACGACTTTTTTATTGCTTTTTAAATCAACTTCTTGTATAAAAATTTTGGTAGTGACGAGCAACTTTTTCCACGGGATTTATGCTTTACTTCGAGATGCGTATCGATCTATTCGTATATTTTAATTTGAATAAATTTGATGTCATCCTTGGTATTTAGGACATTCTGAACGCAATGATAAGCATGTTTTACGATCAGATTTCGTTTGGGCAGTGTCGAGATTGATTTTTTTTTTATTTGCACAGCATCGCATTGGGATATGTGTCACTACTTCGGATGATCCCGAATGATTAAATAAGATATATATATTTTAGATGTCGATAATGTTCCAGATGCAACGACGAAGTCTGTTCATGGATCCGACGTCATTTGGCCAATGTCACATTTTAATTTCAGGTGTCGGTCGTCCCTTTTGATCAATGTCATTCGATACGATTGAGAGGGGTCTCGACCTAACAAAATTAGATGTTCCGATCGCAATGTAGCTATCCGTTTTACATTCGGTGGTCATTTGACCCTTTACGTGATGCATCATGCCAACCCGCGCATTGCTTGATTCGTCATTTTTGCCCTTTTTGCATGTAGTTTGAGTTGTAGGGGTCAACAAATTACAATCTTTTAAATTATTTCTGATTTGTGAAACATCTCTCACTCATAACATAGTGGGCATATGTCATCAAATAAAAAACTCTATAAAATCTTTGTTATCTTACTCTTTTATGGGTTGTTGCTTCTCCTTTTTCTCTATCATATCTCACTATTTGAAGCCATCATACTTCCTTATAGAGTAATGAACTTGGGCATCATATTCTAGTCTCTCTATATAAATTCTTGATGCATGTGCTCCTTATTGCCACTTTGGCTTGGTGAGTTTTATCCATCAACATCAATCATTAATATAGTGTGTGAGAATTCATTCTAAATGTTGCATCTTATGTTGAAGAAAAGAGTCATGATAGAAGATTCTTAACATTGATATCTAAATTCTCCTACTATTGGTGAACCTGTGGGCAAGAATGTCTTAGCTACATGTGAACACTTGGATACCGACCTCAATTATTTCTACCAATAGCTTATTGATTCACTAATTTCATCAAGATTTTCTTGCAGCATCACTAATGTCCATAGCTCGATAAACTTAGATCCCACACTGAAGCAAGGTGGTTGGAATACGTGGCATACAATAACACTCTCAATGCTCAAACAAATTTATAACTCTCCCATTATGCTGAATATTATTGAGGAGGCATTCCATTCAAATTCAAAGCTCCTTAGCTAAAAATCTTATTCTGAACGCCTAATCCCATATATAATTTGGCCACCTTCGAAAACAAAATGCCCATGTCTAGTACATTTGTTGATATTTAGCGCCGACCATTTATAAATACTTTCAAATGCATAACTTGAAAATGGTTCAACTCTCCTAAATCATAAATTCTTCTAAATAATTCCTTATCTTTTTTTTTTCCCCAAAATTTTCCACTTCTAAAAGCATTCTAAAGACCTCCTAATCCTTATTTTGCATTTAGTAGGAAGTTGGGGAATCCTTTAGGGACTACATATATTGCTTCAATAAAGCTTTCCTATAATGTTATAGATGACCATAATAACCTCATGAAAGTCACTTTTATCCTAGGGTTACAGCTTAGGAACTTCAAGTTATTAGTCAATAAAAAACCATAAGAAACTCAAAAAGATTTATTGTTGAATAATTGTAAGCATTGAAGAGTTCATCCAAGAAGTTGAATCACCCATTTTATCTTCTCAAATCCTTGCAAAGAAGTGAGCTTAACCATAACACACCTCACAACATCCTCATTGCTACCAGAAAGTATGCAAGGATTGACTTCTCTTATTGAGGGTGAATATACCTCCATCATCCCCACACTATCCAATAAAATCTTATATTGTTTCCTCGTGGAGAGTTCAAAGATAACACTCTCCATTCTTTGAATAATCCCCTTGTTGCCATTATATTTCCCATTCATAAGAAGAATATTATAAGTAACATCTTACATCGTGTAAGGATCCTGACACCTAGATAAATCAAGATTTTTCCTATGAGCATGATAAAAAGAATGTTGTATCCTGAGGGCCTTCTTAAAGAAGCTAATCTATGAGGGACATATGAAGGAATACCTCATCCAATGACATGTCGACAAGTAATCAACTAAAGAATAAACTCTACTTAAGCCTAAGGAATAGACATAGGTTAGCCTAATAATAAAGCCTCAAATGGCTCATGGAGTATGAGGCCAACTCTTATTCTTTCTTTTTGAGTAATGAATTATCACCTCACTATAGTATCCATGATGATGCCATCATCATCTTAGTAACAATAGACTACTTTGAGGTGATCCATATTTTGATTGATATAGTTAGCTCAATTAACATTCTCTTCATTGGGCTATTCAAATGAATCAGTTTTGACCTAAAGAAATTCTATTCTACCAAAGAATACTAAATCAAATTCTCGAGGAAAAAAGTACAGTCTGACGGATTACTATGAAACATTTCCAACTAATTTTCAGACAGAATTTACGACGAATTTTCCGACGGATTTGAAATTTTTTTTAAAAAAAATATAATCGCAATTAATAATTTTATAGCTTATTTTAATTTTTTATAAATTTAATAATTTATTTTAATTACTTATTAATATAATAAATCATTATAATTAATTGTTAATATCATAACTTATTTTAGTTATTAATTAAAACACTAAATTTTGATTAATTACCAACTTTAATATTTTATTTTAATGTAATTTTAAAGCTCGGTGTTTGACTCACTAGTCGAGCTCAAAAACCTACTAACTCGAGCTCGACTCAAATCGTTTACACCCCTACTCAAGGGCAGACTGGTGGGCTTTGCGGGCGTTGGCTAGGCTACCTGCAGGCAGCATGGCGGGCTAGCACAGACAAGGGCCGGAAGCGCACGGGTTGGCAGTGCGACCCCATTGGCGAGCTGGCAGTTTTCTATTGTTTTTCTTTATTATTATTTTTTGTTATTCCGCATGAAAAATTTCGCCGAAAAATTTTTTTTGGTGATTTTTTCCTGACGAAAAAGTTTTCCGAAGCTCGATTAACCGTCAAAAAGTCTTTCGTCGGAAATTCGCTAAAATTTTTTTAAATCCGCAAAAAAAATCAGACTTTTCTGCCAAAAAAATCACCAGTATTATGCTATTTTCTTGTAACGAGTGATCAATATCGTAGAGGATTCATGTAAGAATATTGATACTAGACTTCACATGGTGAGTACGAGCCTCCTTTTGACTCTTAGTGCGGCCCATTTACAAGTTCCAACATAGTTGAGGAAGATAGAGTTAGGACATTAGAGGACTTGATTTACGATGCAATTAGTCCATAATATAAATAATATATAGAAGAATATATCCCCGAATAAGGAGAAATAAAACTTCTACAATTTGTTGCACGCTATATAACAACCAATTTAGAATGGGTGCACTACTTATTCAGAGTTATCTATTGCTGTGAAGATGTTAAGAATAAAATTTTAACTTTTTTTTTTTTTTTACTATAGGTTTCCGACAATTTTTTGAAAAAATTTTCATTGCAAATCTTGATATGACAATTTAGTATCATTATTTCTGATAGAAATATTCGTCAAAAATGGCAACGAACTTGCGACGTATTTTTCATCACGATGTACGATGGATATTTCATCGTAATTTGCGATAGAGTTTCCGTCACACTTCCACCCCAGATATTTTTGCGACATGGATTTTAACTATGGTTCAATTTAGTCGCAAAAGGCTGAATTTCTTATAGTGGGTGGCATATTTTCATCTCTCGATACGAATTGTTGACTATGGCTCAACTTTGACTCAATAAGTTTTGAGTGTGTGGGCAAGCTGGGACCGATCGAAAAGAGAAAGTTTTTGGGTTTTTGTGGATTCTACTATAAGGACTTGCATAGTAACCCTTGAGTGGGGAGATAACTTAACCTTGGGATCTTAAGGGTCATAAATAATGAAATTTGAGATAAAGAGAAATATCCACCCTTTCTAAATATTTATCATTTATACATCATTAAAATGATATAAAGATCAATCTCGCATGC